GGTGTAGCCGCTTTGGAAAATGGTTTGGCAGTTCTTCAAAATGTTAAACATAGAGTTACCACATGACCCAGCAATTCCACTCCTTGGTATACACCCAAGAGAAATGAAAACATATATCCATGCAAAAACTCGTACATGAATGTTCACAGCAGTATTATTCATAATAGCCAAAAAGTGGGAACAACCCAAATGACTGATGAAATGGATAACTAAAATGTGGTATTTCCATAAAATAAAATATTATTCAGCAAAAGTAGGAAATGAAGTACTGACATGTTACAACATGGATAAATCACAAAAAAACATTATGCTAAGTGTAAGAAGCCAGTCCAAAAAGACCAGATACTACATGATTCTGGCTATCTGAAATGTCCACAATAAGCAAATCTATAGAGACAGAAAGTGGATTAACAGCTGCTTAGGGCTGGGGGAGTGGGAGAAAATGAGGAGTGACTGTTAATGGGTATGGGGTTTCTTCATGCGGTAATGAAATGTTCTAAAATTGATTATGGTGATGGCTGCACAACTCTGTGAATACACCAAAAACCATTAATTGTACACTTTAAATAGATGAATTGTATCATATGTAAATTATATTTCAATAATGCTGTTAAAAAAATAACATTTTTCATCTCTGGATGGTGAATAACTAGTAATTTTTATTTTCTTATTTATATCTTTTTGTAACTTCCAAATTTGCTGTAATGACTGAGAGTATTTTTATATCAAAGAGAAAAATTATTTACTGCCCAAAGTGCTCCTTGTGAGGTAAAAGCACAATTTATTAATAGACTAGGGATTCAGATGGAGTTGCCGCTTGCATTCATTTAGTTATTCATTAATCAAACACTACTGTGTGCTCCAGGAATAGTCTCAGCATGAGAAAAGTTCTAATTGCAAAATCAATAAATTTACATCATAACAAAGACAAGATTCCCGTTTACGTCAGAAGTTAAATTACGCATCACACCACCACTAACTCTTCTGCCTTAATTTTGCACCAAAAGAAATTCTCTCTCATTAAAATAATTATTTTTGATTTTTAAAACTCGTATTAAAAACAAAACCACAGCAACACTTCATAGTTGAATAGCAGAAACCAAACCAAACCCGTTGCTGTCCAGTTGATTCCGACTCATAGCGACCCTATAGGACAAAGCAGAACTGTCCCACAGGGTTTCCAAGGAGCAGATGGTGGCTTCGAGCTGTAGACCTTTCGGTTAGCAGCCAAACATTTAACCACTGTGCCACCTAAACTCTAAGGTATACCAAAAATTCAATAAGCAACAAGGGGAAATAACTCAAAAACACTGGAAATCATGTCTTTAAGATACTTTTTGGTTGCCAGCTCAATAATAAGGAGAATCTTTGGGTAAATGTTACCAAAAGGAAAATTACAACAAAATCAAAAGAATGCCTTAGAAATACTTTACTTTGATGTTGAAAAGAGCATGGAGTGAAAAAAACGAGAAAGGAAGGATGAAAGGCATACTCAAGCAACGGGTTATTTCAATATGTTGATAACACCTTTCAGCTAAGAATTACATGCTCAATCAGACTGTTTAGGGATGGTACACATTAGGTTTTGGGGGAAGTTGTTGTTAGGTGCTGTCAAGTCAGTTCCGACTCATAGCAACCCTATGTACAACAGAATGAAACACTGCCCAATCCTGCACCTTCCTCACAATCGTTGTTATGCTTGAGCCCATCGTTGCAGCCACTGTGTCAATCCATTTCGTTGAGGGTCTTCCTCTTTTTCTCTGACCCTCTACTTTACAAGCATGATGTCCTTCTCCAGGGACTGATCCCTCCTGACAACATGTCCATAGGGATAGCAGTCTCACCTAGTTCTTGATCAGGAGAGCAAATCAAGGCATCTCTATTTTGAGAAACTTCACTGGCTATTCTGAACTACAGCCACGGTTAAGAATCACTGCGTTAAGCAATGACTCCTCAAGGGATACAAAAAAAGACAAAAAGCCAGTTGCCATGAAGTCAATTCTGACTTATGGCGACCCCGTATGTATCACAGTAGAACTGTGCCTCATAGGGTTTTCAACTGCTGATTTTTTTCAGAAGCAGATTGCCAGGCCTCTCTTCTAAGCCGCCTCTGGGTGGACTTGAATCACCAACCTTTTGGTTAGCAGCCCAGCGTTTTAACCATCTGTACCACCCAGGGACTCTAGAAGGATACAAGGCAACCAAGAATTTGTTGTATATTTTTAAAATATCTTTAGAGACAATGTAGCAGATACATTGGAGGAAAGAAAGTCTGAGAGCTGGGATCCTACAGCCACTAATCATACCCCAAAAAGTCTATTTGACAGAAACGAGCTTGATCTAGAGAAGCAGAAGACAAAACGAAGACAAAGGGGTAGAGCCAAGGGCTATTTCATGAAGCAGAATCTACAGAATATAATGACCAAATGGTTGTGGAGAATGAAGGAGAAAAAGAAAGCAAAAAATGATTTCCAAGGTCTCTAGTTTGAATAAGCAGAATGGCTAGTGATGCCCATTAACCAATGAATGGAAAGCAAAAAGAGAAGCTAGTTTGAAAGTTAGACAGAAGAGTTAATAAAGAAAAAGTTCAAGGGACCTTAAAAATTATTTGTAATGTTTACTACTGGTAGGATAAATGAATGCAAAGGTGTTCACATTATTTATCTTTTCTTAAACATACATATATAACACAAAATTCAACCAGCAAGGGGTAAAAGGAAACCCTGGTGGTGTAGTCGTTAAGAGCTATAACTCCTAACCAAAAGGTTGGCAGTTCGAATCTACCAGGTGCTCCTTAGAAACTCTATGGGGGTACTACGTCCTATAGAGTCACTATAAGTCAGAATCAACTTGATGGCAATGGGTTCGGTTTTTTTTGTTTTTTTTAAGGAGTCAAAACTCAAAAACAGTCTGAGAATTACTGCTGTTACACACTTTTGTATCCATGACATAAGTTAAAAGAAAAAGCAGGGTGGAGATAGGCAATTTGGTTTTGGACTTACTGATTTTGAGGAAATGACAGAACTATTACATAGGAGACAGGTGCTAGAGAAAAAGATTTGGAAATGGCTGGTATACAAAGATGATGTCATGGAAGCCATGGACGTAGATGAGAACTGTGAAGACCAGTCGGGTTATAGTAACGGCTAAAGGCCAACTGAAAAGAGAGAATCAGTAATAAAGACTGAGAATAGTAAGCAAAGAGAGAGACACTTTTTACTAATACCTGTCCTTTCCCCAAATGCACATAGAAGAATTTTTTTTTTTTTTTTTTTTTTAAATAAAAGCTACCAAATATGGCAGCTCCAGAATTTCCAGATAAGTGGAGTTAGAAGAGTCACGTTTGGAAGGAGAGCTTGAAGGTGTTTTTGCAAAGCACTGTATATTAAGTCAGAAAATACTAGCTGACCATATCAAAAAATGGAGGGAAAGGGGCCTGAGGGAAGTATTTCCCTTCCCCTTTGGCACCACCATTGCTATGTTCTAGGCACTGTAAGCAGCAGCTTACCTAATATCCTTTCATCCTCATAACAAAGTAGATGGGGAAACTGAGTCTAGATTGGAATAGCAACTTGCTCAGGGTCACAAATCTCCTAAGGAGCATACTAACACTCATCTGTGTCCCCCCATAGCTCTCTATGGCTTTTTATACCTAACTAGTTTCTCATTACCCATCTTGATACAACGGATATTTATGTGCCTCTCTCTCACTGTACTGTTAGCTCCTAAATGTCATTCTGTTCTATATCCCTATAGCTAAGAACTTATACTACTAAGCTATAAAAAAAACCTACTAATTTTGTTGGGTTAAGTATCTATGAAAGAACCACGTGAGAATAGCATCAAGAAAGACAAGAGGGGAAAGAGTTTAAAGAAATGGATGGTCAGCAGTGTCAAATGCTACAGGGAGAGTCATCAGTACGACATACCTTAAACGATCACTGGCACTGAACTGATGTCCCTTATTCATTTATTGAACGCCTACTACATGCAAGGCAATGTGTTAAGCACTATGAACACAAAAATAAAACCTAGTACATGTCAAAAGGTTTTCGGGGAAGTAGCCTCATCTAGATTCTTTATCAGGAAAGCAAAACAGTCAGGCCTGCAGTTGTCTACACCTTATTTGGCTCTGGTTAATCCGAAGACAACTTAAAAAGGGCACTGCGCATCTTTCAATAAAAGTTCTGATAGGAGACACGAGATAAAGAAGGGCCAGAGAATCTCAGTCTCAGTGACGACAGCCCGTGGCCAGGGAAGCCGACTCCCTCTGGAGTCTCTTGCCCCGTAAGCAGAGATGGGGCGGCCCCTAGCTGACCCTCCGTATCCTGGAGCGGGAAAAAAGCAGGCACTTACCGCAAAATCAGGCACCAACACCGTGGCCCAAAGGGCCCGGGATTCCTTCGCGAGGCCCCACGCCGAGGAAGAAAACCCAGGAAAGCCAAGGAGCAGACAGACAGGTGCGACCCCACAATCGACTTCCCGACCTATATAAACCAGAGTCCCAGTGCACAGCACCGCGACGCCCAACTTCCACCAGCTGGAAGACCGACGACTGCCACCGAACCTTCCGCCCAATGAGGAAACGTCACCACTCGGCGTAGTCCAGCCTTCCATGAAACGGGTGCACTTCCGCTTCCGGGGCATACTGTTGCACTGTTTTTTTTAAAGGAGTTTCTTGAAAGGATCTATGAAGTGCTTCTTCGCTTCGGCTTGCTTTTGGCTTTAGTTTTTTCCGCACAATAACTGTAGCAGCAAATTAGTGACAAAATAGGAGGCTCTCTAAGGCCTTTTTAGTGATGCCGCCCCAGGAAAGAAGTACGGCCTCGAGAAGCCACCTTCAGAAAAAAGGACTCGGCTGAGCTGAGTTGAATGATAATAAATGGAACTGGCGTTGCGTGTAGGGATACCTGGAAGCACGTGAGGATTCCAGATAGGGGGCGGGCTTAGGGCTTTGGGGGCGGGGCCCCCGAGGAGCAGATCAGGTGTCGGCTCCCCAGCGCGTGCGCAATGCGGGCCTTCTTCCGCGCTGATGTCTGCTCCAAGATGGAATTCTGTTCCGGGCGGCGAGCGGTGCTGCAACTGCTCAGAGCAGTGGCGCCGGCCGACCGCCCAGCACTGCTCCAGTGGATGCGAACGACCCGTAAGCGATCAGGGCTAGAAGCAGGCTGTTGGTGCAAGGATATGCTGTGGGCACTGACCTTGGGGACGTAGGCCGGGTGAGGCCAAAAGCCTTCCATGGGGTCGCTGTGCTAGTCTCTGCTCTACTACGGGGCAGGTTGACCGGGGCACACTCTTCAACCCTTGGGCTTCCCAGAGTCCCGCTTGAGGTTGGGTGAAGACCTGGCTCTGGGTTTATGAGTTCGCCGCAGGCTTTGGAGAAGTCCTAAGAGCTTCCTTATGCCTAATTCCGTTTCTAAATAAAAGGATAATCCTTCTTCGCCATTACTACTCCCACAAATTTATGAGGATCAGTGAGAAACTACTTGAAAAAGCACTTTGCAAGAGATGGTTTAGAGTGTAGAGCTGGAGGCTTTTACTTTCCGGGTAAAATCACTTGTAGCTAGTGCATTTTGTCGATCGTAAAGTGGGCCGTCAGTTTAATAGCAGTTTTTCTGGGGGGAGAAAAGCCTTTGATTTTAAACCATTAAAATTGAATAATAATAATAATAAGCACGAGTTAGAATCGAGGAAATGTGATAATTAGGTCTAGTTATTGACGATTGAGATAGACCTGGCAAAGTGAAGCCTGGTGAAAGCACAAGAAAATAGCGTTTGTTAAGTATGCCAGACTATACTGTGTTCTACACCTCTAAATGTTGATTCCCATGATTATTTTCATCCAGTTTTAGGGCTTAAAATATCTGTTTGCTGATGACTCTCATTTTAGATTTCCAGCCCTGACTCTTTCTAGAGCTTTCTTTTTGTGATGTCAGAGTCAGTGGGGTTAGGTATTATTGTTATTATACACATTTTAGGAGACCACTCTAGATAAGATGCCAAACTAAAATTAAGTTGGACGTGCGATGTCAAGGTTTATCCTGGAAAGTATAGGAAACCAGAAACAATAGCTTCGTGTTTATAGACACTTAGAAGATTACTTCAAGATAGGAATTATCGAAAGTTTGCTGAGTCTCTTATCACTTCATTTAAAACTGTATTATCAGTTTCATTCATCATATCCCAATTCTTTATAAAACAATGCCAATTCCATCCATTTTTTCTACATTCCTATGCACAAGGTAATTCATTCCAAATATATCCTGTGCCTGCAAAAACTCCACATACTGCCTGGCTCTGGCAATTGTAAAATTACTGAAACATCCCTGCTCTCAGGAAGCTTTTAGTTTTGTGCAGTTATTTGTAATCTAAATCTCTAATTTTAGAGGTATCAGTTGAGACTACATTTTTCAAAATCAGGAATACTTGAAAGCATGTTTTAGATGATAGTTTTGTAAACAAGAGGACCCAATATCGTTGGTTAAATAATACATTTTTACTTTTTTTAAAGGCACTTTTTTTACATCTCTCTAGCAGACCCTGTAGTCAGAGATGCTCAAAAAATTTATTAAACAACTTAGAAAATAACTTGAGTTTCTGAAGAATGTTTATTAGCATAATTATTTTAAGAAATGAGAGAGGCAGGTGGCTTAAAATGAGGAAGTGTGTTTTGTTATAAACTATGTAACAATGCGGTGTAATTTATTAGTATACTGATTTATGAAATGGCTTTAAATATGGCACAAAAGATTCTTCCAGTCAACCATTTTTCATTTTCCTATTTAGATTTCCTTCTTCCAGAAAAAATGTTTTATCTCTAACATCGAGTAACTTGTGTAATGTCTTGTATGACATTTGCTTAAACCAAAAAAGTCAAATCCATTGCCATCGAGTCAATTCTGACTCATAGTGACCCTATAGGACAGAGCAGAACTGCCCCATAGGGTTTCCAAGGAGCAGCTGGTGGATTCAAACTGCCGACCTTTTTTGGTTAGCAGCCAAACACTTAAACACTGTGCCACCAGGGCTCCTGACATTTATTTAGACCTTTAATTATAATTCTCCTTGGATAATAGACATTGAGTGTGACTGGTTTTGAGTTTTGTAGAGCACCTATTGCTAACAGGTAAAATCACTAATTTTAAATATACAAAATGAATAATAAAATTGTTCTGTGAAGGGATAGGATTAGGCTGGTGGAACCAGAAACTTGGACCAGGGCAGAACGAAGCACATGTCAATGTCTGATATAAACTGAAGATCTAGAAGAAATGAAGGCAGGAGCCTACATTTCATCTTGGTACAGCTTAAACCAAAGGCCTAGGAAACAAAATGGGCAACAATATAGCAAGGATAAACCAACTCTGAGGGGCAAAGTAGGCAGAAATAAGCTGCCTCCCCCCCGCCCCCCCCAAAAGTAAAAAATACAGCAGTACCTCAGCTCACTGACTTTGATCCTGTGGTGGAACATCTGTTCTCTTCTATTTTTTGTATGTGTATAAAGTGGGCTCTTGATCTAGATTTCAAAGGGTAGGAAAGTGACTGTGATCTATTAAGTGAAGGGAGATGAGGAGCCGGAGCTCCAAATGGAGTCCCCAGTAGCCTCATTTAAAAGAATAGAAGCAGAAATCTATTAACAAACGTTGAATTTGCCCTGGATATATGCAAACACAGATGAGGAAGTATAACCAATAGCCCATAACAGTTTCTATTAAGGATCAAGTTACAGAGAATAGAAAATTAGGGTTTGCTATAAGGAAATCGGAAACCCTGGTTGTATAGTGGTTAAGGGTTAACCAAAAAGATCTGCAGTTCGAATCCACCAGGTGCTCCTTGGAAACCCTATGGGGCAGTTCTCCTCTGTTCTATAGGGTCTCTATGAGTCAGAGTCAACTCCACGGCAGTGGATTTGGTTTTTGGTTATGAGGAAATTAACAAAATCATCAAGAAAATAATTTAAATGGCTAAAGAAGATAACAACAGTAGGTGACTAGAAGCTTTCAGGAGCTTCTCTGCATCCTGTATTTTAAATACATCTTCACTAAGCAGAATTAGTTATGGAGTTGAACAGCAGCTCAGAGCTGTTAGAGGTTCTTTGTAATACCTACAAATCTAAAAAGCAAAGTCTGGGATCTAATTACATTTGTCAGGCAGCATACTGCTTCAGTTCTATATTGTACTAGCATTGAGTAGATAATTAAAAGGTTTACTGCCAAAGGAACAAACAAATCAGTCTTAAAAGATATACAACCAGAATGGTTGTTAAAAGTAAGGATTGTAAGACTTTGGCTCATTTACTTTGGACACATCATCAGGAAAGCCCAATCACTAGAAAAGGATGTCATCTTTGCTAAAGCAGAGGGCCAATGAAAAAGAGGGAAGCCCTCAGTGAGATGGATTGACACAATAGCCACCACAATGGGCTCAGTCATATCAAAGATAATGAAGATAGCACAGGACTGGGCAACATTTCCTTCTGTTATACATAAGGTCGCTGTGAGTTGGAGCCTACTCGAGAGCAGCTAACAACAACAACTAAATGGTGAGATGTACCTTGTTCATGTGTCAGAAGAAACAGTATTGTTAAGATGTCAGTTCTACCCAGGTTGCTCTATAGATTCAACACATGAATCCCAATCAAAATCCCAACACACTTTTTTGTAGAAACTCAAGCTGAATTCTAAAATTCATATGAAAATACTGTAGACCTAGAAGAGCCAAAATTTTTGAAAAAAAAGTTAGAGGGCTAATGTGACCCAATTTCAGGAATTAAATCAGCATGGTAATATCGTGAAGATAGAAAAGTAGATCAATGGAGCATAGAAAGTCTGAAAATAAACCCACACATGTGGATTTTTTTTTATTCCTAACTTCTTTTTTTTATTGTCAAGTTGGTCTTTATTAAAATTATAAACATTTCCTGGGTTAAAAACGTTAATAAGAGACTCAAAAGACAAGCTGCAAAATGGGAGAAAATATTTTGTAAACACATGTCTGATAGAGGCCTGACATATAAAATACTGAAATAATTTTTTTTCCCTCATTCAAAAATTTATACTCAAATTGTTTTGTGATGTTGGTTGCAATCCCTGCAATGTGTCTGCACTCTTACCCTTTCCCTTTCCACCCCAGGTTCCCCGTGTCCATTCTTCCAGTTTCCCTGTCCCTTCCTGCCTTCTTGCCTTTGCTTTGGGGCAGGTGTTGCCCATTTAGTCTCTTATACTTGATTGAACTAAGAAGCACGTTCCTCATGTGTGTTGCTGTTTGTTTTATAGGCTTGTCTAATCTTTGGCTGAAAAGTAGACTTCAGGAGTGGCTTCAGTTCTGAGTTAGCAGGGTGCCTGGGGGCCATAGTCTCGGGGATTCCTCCAATCTATCAGACCAGTAAGTCGAGTCTTTTTTTGTGAATTAGAATTTTGTTCTACATTTTTCTCCCACCCTGTCCAGAACCCTCTATTGTAATCCCTGTCAGAGTGGTGGTGGTAGCCTTGCACCCTGTAGTTCTTCTGGTCTAGGCGGGTGGAGGCTGTGGTCCATGTGGTCCGTTAGTCCTTTGGACTAGTATTTTCCTTGTGTCTTTGATTTTCTTCATTCTCCTTTGCTCCTTCGAATGGGACCAATAGATGTATCTTGAAAGCTTTTAATACTCCAGAGGCTACTCACCAAAGTAGGATGTAGAACATTTTCTTTGTGAACTATGTTATGTGAATTGACCTAGATGTCCCCCAAGACCATGGTCCCTAGTATTCAGCCCCAGTAACTCAGTCCCTCAAGGTGTTTAGATATGCCTAGGAAGTTTCTACGACTTTGCCTTGGTGAAGTTGTGCTGACTTCACCTATATTGTGTGTTGTCTTTCCCTTCACCAAAGTTAACGCTTGTCTGCTATCTAGCTAGTGATTTCCCCTCCCCACCCCTCTCCGCCCTTGTAAACCAACAAAGATTTTTTTTTCTGTGTGTAAACCTTTTGTTGGGTTTTTATAGTAGTGGTCTCATACAATATTTGTCCTTTCGTGATTGATTTATCTCATTCAGCATAATGCCCTCCAGATTCATCCATGTTGTGAGATGTTTTGTGGATTCATCATTGTTCTTTATCATTGCATAATATTCTGTTGTGTATACATACCATAATTTGTTTATCC